CGCTGTTGACGGGGCGCTGGGGGGGCGACTTGCTCTGTTGGTTCACGCTTGGTCCCGCAGTTCGTGGGCATTTTTTGGTTGCCTTCCAGCCACTGGTGGTGTCGGGCGGCTCCTTCCCCCTTTTGGGGGTTCAGGGCTGGCAGGGTGGAATTCTTCCCCTGCGCTTCGTCATGTCATCATGATGTGGGTGCGTTTGGACGTTGTCGATCCACCTCATCCTTCCGGGGTTGCCGACATGGGACTTTGCAAATCTGAGGTTCTTCTGGACTTGTTCAGTCTGCACCCTGGATTCTTTGCCTCTTCGGCTGACTGTTGTCTCCAGTTCGGCTTCTGTTGGGGCCGGGTGCCTGTATGGTGTCCCTGGACCTCCGGGTCACTTCTTGGCATATTCCTCTCCAGGGTTCCTGGACTGGCACAGTTAGTGGTGAGGCTTCAGGCTTGCCGCTTTCGTTGCTTTCCATAGTTTGTATTGGCACCTCACGTATTTACTCATCTTTACTGGATTTTGGTGACCTGTCTGGGTCTGTTCGGGATTCGGTTTTCTGGCCTACCTCGACGACTGGCTGGTGTGGGCTCCCAGTCGGTCTGCTTGTCTGCTCACCAGGGGTGTGGTTCTTTCCAAGGGTTTCTGGTGAATTGGAGGACATTCCATCTGGTTCTGTCCCGGGTTCGAACCTGGCTGGGTCTTGTTTGGGACTCTCGGGCCATTTCTTTGTCTCTCCCTCCAGAAAAACGGCTTTGGCTATTTCTGAGAGAGTCCCGGATCACTCGGTGGTTGCTTGAGCAGTTATAAGGGAGTTTGAACTTTGCCGTGCTGGTCTACCCGCTGGGTCGGGTTTGGCCTCGGCATCTGTTTTGGTTTCTTCAGGGATGCCCCCTTCTGCCTCTCTCACGATTTTGGGTTTTGTACTCCGGGGGCCTTGTGTTAGTTGCTGCGTTGCCAGCTTCCTCTTTGGGGCTTCTGGGGGTTCTGTGCCTCGCTCGATGTTTTCACGGATGGGTCGCCTCTCGGCTGGGGCTTTGTGGCCAGTGCTCACCAGGCCGGCCAGGGATGGTGGGGTCCCTGCTTCCGTTGTGCTCACAGCATGGATCGGGAGTTCACAGCAGTCTGGTTTGCGCTTCAGAGGGTTCAGGTCACTCGGGGCTCTACCATCCGGCTCCATTCGGACTGTTCTCCAGTGGTTCATTGCCGGAACCACGGGGGTTCTCTTTGGTTCTTGTCTCTTTGGGGTTGGTCCCTTCGAGTAGCTCATCTGTTGGATTCTCGTGGTTTGGCTCTCCATGCGGTTCATGTCCGGCGAGTGTCCAAGGTCCTAATGGATGGCCTGTCTCGGTTCGTTCCCCTGTTCACGGAATAGACGGTCGACGCTGTCTCGTTTCGTTGGCCCTGCCAGATGTACGGACTCCCAGACATGGACATCTTCACGTCGGCGTTGTCTCGGCATCTCTCATTTTATGTGGGGCGCCCTTCCCCGTCTGCGAGGCATTCGCAGTGGATGCCTTTCGGCAGGACTGGTCGAGGTGGAGGTACCTGTACCTCTTACCCCCCCCCCCCCCCAGTCCAGCTGTTGCTTCGGGTTCTGGCTCGGTTGGAGTCCTTCCCAGGGAGAGTAGTCCTCGTGGCCCTTTGGTGGGCGGCCCAGCCTTGTTTTCAGGCACTGCTTGTTTAGTGTTCGAGCCCTGGACGTTTCCAGCAGGTCCGCCTCTTTCGGCAGGTCGGACCAGTCCAGTATGTGGCTGGTTTGGCCTTCTCCTCTGCTCTTTGTGTCTGGTCTTCTTGACGCAGGGGTGTATCACCATTTCTATGGTATTCAGATGGTTTCGTTGATGGTGTTCCACCTGTGGGCTTTGTCTCGGCAACTGTATGATGTTCCTGGCACTTTTTTCGCCATTTTCTTGCTCTTCGTAGGTTGTCTTCAATTTTGGATCGGGTTGTCTTGTCCTTTCTTGGCTTTTTCAGGACCATCATTTGATGCTTCTTACTGTCGCCTTGTATCGTGCGGCACTGGCGGAGCCGCTCCAGCTTGTGTTCGGGGTGGACGTCACATTCGCCCCATTCTGTACGCTGTTTCGTGCTTTGTTTTACCTCCGGCCTGCTCAGGCTGTGCCTGAGCCGTCCTGGTCCTTGGACAAGGTGCTCTCTTATCTTTCCTCTCCTCGGTTTGTGGTGGCCCTTTAAATTCAAAACTGTTTTTCCAAGATTTTTTGTTGGCATTGTCCTCTGGGGGTCGGGTCGGGTAGGTTTGTATGTTTGCATCCTTCTCCGTCTTTTCCGGCGAAGGACGTGACGGCTGCTTTCCAGAGGGGTCCTTGGGCTATTGATGGTTGGTTGGTTCAGCCAGGGGGTGCATAATGTGTTGTGTCCGATTGCGGCTCTTCGGCGTTACCTGTGTGCCGTGGCTGGGGATGCGCTTTGGGTTTATCCGGTTTCCTTTGTTCCCTGTTTCAGGGCTCGGGTCTTCCAGGTAGTCTGCATGGTTGTTAAGTCTAGCCAGCCTGTGGTCTATCCTCGTGCCCGTGCTATTCGGACGTTTGCAGCTTTTGCTACCATGTTTGGTAACATATCTTGGGCTCATTTCGGGCACGGGGATTTGGAGTTCACACAGTTTCCCTGCCACCCGTTATTTTGTGAGTGTGTCTGCTCCTGGGCGTTCTTGTGTTGCATTGGGTCGCAGGTTGCTGCATGTTGTCTCGACTTCGCGTTGTGGAGTTTGTGGCGGCTGCCTCCCGGGTCAGCCCTTTTCTTTCCTTCCCTTTGGGTATGAAGCTCCAGGGAGCCGTAGGGACTCATCTCAGAAAACCACCGTTGAATGCAATGAAACGGCATTTTCTGGGCGAGCCCCAGAGTCTCCCTGGTAACCCTCCCTCCCACCGGTCAGCATTTTGTTTGCGTTTGTTGGTACTTAGCTTCTGAACTGGAGTGCTATGCAGCCAGTGCGGTGAGGTCCGGGGCTCCCACCTCCCCCTCTCAGGGGAAGGGAGGGCTGCGCAGACGAGCGGCGGGGTAATAGTGTGTTACATTTGCATGTTTGCTTATTTCCTTGGGATTGTAGGGAGTTCTACCTTTCTGATCGGTTTTTGTTGTTAGTTTCTTACCATGCGGGGTTTGTTTTGTTATGCCTACCTTTCTGGGTGCCTAACCCCGGTCGATGGCTGATAAGGAAAACCTCCCAACCACAGGGGGGGTTATTAGGGCCATTGTTCCCTGCAACCTCTCTGAAGGGGCCAGGTTCTGGCTCATGGTCCCTGGTAGGTCTGAACTCCATAGCTAATGTTCCGGTCTAATATAATATACATTAGCTCGATAAGCTCCAGGGAGCCTCCGTGGCTGACCCAGAAAATGGCGTTTCATTACATTCGACGCTGGTTTTTTATCAAAAAAATTATGTGAAAGTAAAAAATATGAAAGACATTTATAAGGGCACCCATCATCTCACTCTGTAGCATCACAGCAAACCACAGCATTGCAGTATTAACAACCCATCCTATACTTAGGAGAAAAAGACTTGGGAGTAGACATAATCACAACACTAATATCAGAAGTTCATGTGAACAGGACGACATCAGCAGCATATGGAAAGTTAGCAACCATAAAAACGTCATTTAAGAATCTAAATAAGAAGCCCTTCAAATCTGTACACTGCCTGTGTGAGATCTTTACTGGAGTATGCAGCACCAGCATGGAATGCTTGCATTTTGAAGCATAAACAGAAACCTGAAAAAGTTCAGAGGTTTGCAAGTAAATTAATACCAGAATTGAGAGGCCTGAGCCTTGAGGACAGGTTAAGAGAACTCAGCCTCTTAACCTTAGAGGAGAAAAGAAACAGGGAATATGATAACTACATACAGGATACTGAGAGGAATAGACAAAGTTGACAAAGTAAACCTATTTCAATTAAAAAGAGGTATGAACAAGTGAACATTAGTTGAAGCTGAACACACAGTCGAGTTGAGCTGCAAGAAAGTTCTCGTTCCCTGTACACGTGGTTGACTATTGGAATGCATTGATTTAAGAGGTTCTTAAAGTCAATTACATCCATAACTTTAAGAAGAAATATGATCAAAATATTTATGTCGAGAGAGGTAATTAGCACATGAGGTATAAATTGGCTAATAGGTAGGGTATAAAGGGCTAGATGTCACTCCCCATAGTCACAGATAGGTAAGCACATATCAAAAGAAATAAAAGTACAAACATTTCCGTCTGTCCTGGACCCTCATCACGTCCACTTGATAAGGGTCCAGAACAGACCGTAACTTCATCACTTGTTTTTCTTTTTATGTGGGTGTGTTGGGTTATTAATTTTCAGCTACATTATTGTGACTAATTCTCCGCAGTAGAGCATCTCAGTCATATCATCGACTAAGTGTAAAGTACTTAGTGTGAATTGTTACCGAATGTCATTCATTCATTTAATCGTAGCGTATTGTTTTAACTCATCTTTCGCTCTGTTCCTCCTACTTGCATTTTTTCCACGATCATTACCTCTTTATTCAATAGGACCATGTCATGTTAGCATGTTCTGCTCATTCAGTAAGATCATGTTATCTTAGCCCATATTACTCAATTTTATGATTCTAACTTTTGCTTTCTACACTATTCCACACAGTTATATCATAGTTTTTATTTAAATAAAATCTGGGGCACGGTAGTACAGTTGGGTTCGTTCTCGACGCACAGTTGAGAATTCTGGCTTCGAATCGCGAGCAGGACAGAAATGGTTGGCCATATTTCCTCTCACCTAATGTATCCGTTCACCTAGCAGTAATTATGTACTCAGGAGTTAGTCAGCTTGGTGTGGGGTTGCATTCTGGGCGGGGTCAGTAATTCAACTTTGTGAGGGGGGACCTCATTAAAACATTAACGTGTATGAATACACTCTGGCTACCTGTCCCCTGACATAATGAATTATTATTATTATTATTATTATTATTTTTATTATTATAATTATTATTTTTATTATATATTAAAAATATTAACTTATTCATTAAATCTTCAG